TTTTTCCCAAAATGATTTGTTTTAGAAAATAAACATGTAAGCTAATATTTTAAACAGCAAAGCTATAAAAAAAATTTATTTTGCATGGTGTTTTCATAACAAAAAGGAAAATACCCTTAGTGGTGCTATTTTATTTTTTGCAACTGTATATATAATGTTAATTCACCTCCCCAAGGCAGAGAAGGCTACTACAGTTGAGGAGGCTACTAAAATTGAGGTTAAAACCCTCTCTCAACTTTACAATTCCAAAACACAAACATCTTTTTTTAAAAAGAAATACTATTTGGGCAGGTCACTAATAGTCAATTATTTTTGAGCAGGTCACAATAATAATACATATATATATAATTAATTTATTGTGATATTATTGTATCAATATCAAAATGAACTGCATAACACATATTTTTTTCAGTTAAGCAATTCATCAATTCATCAAAACACTTTACTTAGCAGAGTCTTGGTGATCTCAGGTCAATTAGTTATAATGAGATTTCTACAACATCTTTGCCAGTTACTATAGTTACAAGAATAAACTCTTTAAATCTCTTTCTGATAAAAATCTAATTAACATATCATGCTGTGAAAATGTCTTCACAAATATTAAAGCTTAAAATCACACAGTCAGAAACTCAGAACTCTCTTCAATTTTCTCTTAAATTTTTAACAAGTGGTTATTTATTTCTAAATATTATTTATAACTAAGTATTATTTATGATTATTTATTTTATTATTTATGATTATTTATTTTATTATTATTACTTTATTACTAAATATAATTTATAACTAAACATTGTTTTTTAACTTCTTTAAAAGAGCAATTTTTGAGGCTCCAATTTTTTAAAAACTCTAATGATTGCTCTAACCTTGTTCAACCAGTCTTCTTATTATTGACATTTAATAGTAAATAGTCTTCTTACTATTCGTAAAATTTTGAATCAAACAAAACTCTTATATATCATGTTGAGTTTAACAACGACAATTAATTGAGATTTTGATCATCTTGTTCTAAGATTTTATTTGGTAGAAGTAAACAGCTTTTTATTAATCTATTTCTGATATATCAAAGGCTTTTAATAAAATCTGATCGATCTTGCTGATCTTCTGATCTTCTTTAAAAGCTTTATACAATGTATTGGAAAAAGTTTTTAAAGTTATTAGTTTCTGGGGTTCAACCAAATTCTATCATTCGTCCTGTGTTTTTTGTTATTTATATTTATAGTTTTCCTGATAACCTTGTCTCTTTTTGGACTTTATACTCTAGTCTTGACAAAAACTTATGATTTTTTATAATTAGGGTTGAACTCAGTAAACAGTAACTTGATGTATTTTTACTGGCAAATTTACTGGTAAAATATTATTATTGCAACCAATCCAATTGAGGTCAATATGTTTAATATGTTGTTCCATAATATGTTTAGTAGCGGTAGTAATAATTTACTAATAAAATTATTGGTAAATACGCTAAGTTATCCTTAACCAATTTTATCGAGCTCAACCTTAGTTATAATATATTAGAATTTATTTTAGCATTGATAAAAAATATATATCAAATATAAAATAACTATTTACTTCTTATAATTATTATTAAATGTGACTTCATGGTAGAAAAGGAACCAATTAAACTGAACAAAATGACTCTAAGATCTTTAAAATAGCTCAATTGGATCCAAAGTTATGATTTTTTATATTCTAAAGTTTAAAAATGGCAATTGTCAGGAAAATCAATTTAAAGTTTTAATAAAAATGTTATTTGCAATATTTTTGGAAAATGTTGATTTGTTAACATTAATATGACTAAAATAATCAATTCAGTTAATAGTCTGATAATCCATCTATCAAATTCAAATGAAAACAGAAAACTTAAAAACCACAGGTCACTGTGTTTAAACGTAATTTTCTCAGAAACTAGATCCCACCATGTGGTCCCTTTTCTACCGCAAGGTCACAAATATTATCCTACAATTATAAAAAAAGTTTAATTTTTTCCTAAATTAATTTTGAAAATTTTTTGTTTTGTTTTATTTTGAAAATGTTTTATAAAAATGATAGCAATAAAAAGAAAGAAATATATTAATAATGAAAAAATGATAATAATAAAATAATATATATATATATATATATATATATATATATATATATATATATATATATATATATATATATATATATATATATATATGTATATATATATATATACATATATATATATATATATATATATATATATATATATATATATATATATATATATATATATATATATATATATATATATATATATATATATATATATATATATATATATATATATGATATTGTAATTAGTTAAGATAATAAAGTTTATTTTAAAATAAAAAATTATATTAAAATAATTAATGTAATGTATCTAATATGTATCTAATATTTATTTTAAATAATTTAATAAAAAAAATTAAATGTTAATAAAAGAAGTAATAATAATAGTATAAAAGTATATTGAAATAATTAAATAATAATGAACTTTTTTAATGTTTAGGTTACATTGGATGCTATATTGACCATTTAGAGCAAGGCCGCGACTTGCCTGTTAGAGCAGGAGTTCCATTTGTTACTCCAAATAACTGCAGAAGTGCATGTAAAAAGACTGGTTACAGGTTAAAAATATTTAAAAAAGTTTGTAAATTTTTTAGAGTTTTGAAATTTTAATTAAAAAAAAAAATCAATATAAATAAATATTGAATTTAGATATGCTGGACTTCAGTATGGGTATTTATGTTTTTGTGGGAACAGTTATGGCAAATATGATATTGCTCCAGACACTGATTGTGATACTGTTTGTTCTGGAAATGAGACTCATACATGTGGAGGACTCTGGAGAAATAAAATATATAGCACAGGTAATATTTTAAACATTCTATAAATACATTTTTGTTTTTATATTATTATATTAATGACATTATGGGAACCATTCAAGTGTGTAACCACGAGCTTTAAACTTAAAAATTATAATAAAATGAGAAATTATTTTTTTGTTTGAAATTTTTTATATGCATGTGCAAATGTCTAAGTATGTGCAGATGCAGATGTCATTAGCCTATGGCTTTAGTCCATGTATGTATGTGTGCATTTTCGATTTCTGTATTATGTCATCATTGGGTTTTCAACATATTTAGTAGTAGAGAATGGCATTTCAGGTTTTTTATACTGTTCATGACTTATTTTCAAAAATTAACACACAACATTAATTTATTTTTTAGGTTGTTTTAAATTCTAAAAATTTTAACTAGGTGCATCTTTGCTTTCTAATATTAAATTATAATAACACACCTTTAATACACTCTTAGAGAAACTGCTAACTACATTTTTTATTTTCCATAATTTTACAAATAAATGAAGACACCTACTTAACTACATAATTATACTCTGTTTGTCCAAACTACCTCATTAAGGTCCCTCAATATACATCCTCTCACAAATCTATAGTTTATATTTTTCTTAGAGGGTTTGTTTCTTTGTTTTTGAAGGTTTTTAGTTTTCCTTACACTATAACTTTACCTTTACAACCCAGTGGGCATAAGATGTGTTTTATATATTTATAAAACAAATTAATACATTTTAAAATGTGTTTGAGACATCTTAAACACCTTGAGCTCATTACCTCTCACCTTATCTCTCATCACTTCATCACCATGAGCACCTTTGAACTTTAAAAAAAATATTTTTGTAATACATTTTTGTATTGCTAAATTTAAAAATCTTTCTGTAATACTTTTTTTTGTATTGCCTACATTTTAATTTTTTCACTTCCTAATTGAAAAACTTTAACAAGGTGGAGAAGGATTGTGTTTTCAACATTTAATTGTTAAATTCATTTAATTGTTTTATTTGTGAAAGAATTAAACAAATTCAACAGTTAAATGTTTTACATTTATTATTATATTTTCATACCCAGGAAAAAAAGTTCTATAGAATTTCTATAAACTTTTGAAACATATGGCCTATAGAAATTCTA